AAGCTCAGGCTGAAGCCCATAACCTTAGGGCTTAGGAGTAGACTTGAGCTTAGATTAAGTGGGCTGCCTAATTCGATTCTGGCTAACGATCTGACTAACTGTGGGGGAGGACTAGCTCGGTCGCTCCAAAAATGAAGCGAACCCCCCAGGCGAGGTCGTTTTGACATATCATACCATGGTCATTTTAGCATATCATAGCATGGAAAAGTTGTTAATTGGTCCGAGAGTATTGTTAAAGAATAATACTATATGTATTAATTAATGTATATATTAGTGTACATTAACAGATGATGTGGCATAATTTTAGATGCTTTCGAGATTTATAATTTGTATAATAAATAGGATCATTAATGATATCATAACACTAGTATGTACACTAATTGGTACATATAATACCATCAATTGTTAAATAGTGTACTGGTGATATTGTAATTAATAAAAGAGATGGTATTCATAATTTTATATTAAGGGTGGGTTTGTTTGGAATGTGGGTTGATTTTTTGACTTTATAATTTTTTTAACTATTTTAGCTTGGGATTAAAAAGTCTCGTTTGGGATAAATTTTTTGACTTTTGTGAGAAAAAAATAAAATGATTATGACTTGAATGTGACATTTTGTCTTATTAGACAAAAAAAAGCTTATTTTGTCTTATTATACCTATTTTAACCCCAAAAAAATCTCATTTTAACCCCAAAAAAAAAAAATCTCATTTTAACTTATATCAAACAAAAGCTTTAATATGATGTTTAAATTCTTCTTTGAAGTGAGTTATTATATCTTAGTTATAGATTTATGTGAAAATTAGTCAGTCAAGATCGAAACATTTAGTGCTCATTTGGATGTTCATTGGGGCTAAAATAGTTATATAAGATAAAATAAGCTATTTTAATAAAATAGGATAAAATGTCACATCCAATCCATAATTATTTTATTTTTTCTCTCATAAAAATTAAAAAAAAAACTAAAAAATTATCCCAAACGAGACTTTTTAACCCCATGTTAAAATAGTCAAAAAAATTAAAAAGTCAACCCCCATTCCAAACGAACCGTTAAGTGATTAACAAAATATAAAAGAATCTATCTATACTATACATATAAGCAAATGTAGTGTTTACTCAAAAGTTTCAATAATTCATTCCTAAATTCTCATAATTTTGAAAAAAAAAAAAAAACTGGCACCCGTTGCATCTCCCTTTGAAAAGTCTTCTCACTTCCTCTCCCTATATAAAGAAATAAAAATTTTAAAAATCACATAATATCTTTAGGGCTATGCTACATACCCCAGCTGGAGGCACCCCCAGTGACCCCCAGTGGCAGGTGGCACACTGCCATTGGGTGGACTTCAAAAAAAAAAAAAAAAAAATTCAGCCTATCAGGGGCGACCCCCAGTGACCCCCACTGGGGGTGTTAGGCATTTTTCATATCTTTATTTCCCACAATTCAAATAAAAGGATAAAAACCCGTATCTCTCTTGTACAAAAATCTAAAAAAATAAAAACAAATAAAAAACCAAGAGACAAAAAGAAGCAAATAAAAAAAAAAAGGATAAAAATGCTACATAGTTATCCTTATTTCTTTTCTAAAAAAAATCTAAAAAAACTTCTCTTATGTTCATATTCCAATTTTTATAAATAGTTATACTATTCTCATTAAAATGAAACTAAAGATGATGAAAACAAACAAAAAAAAACACTCACAACTCTCGATTGCATGCTCTCTTCTCTATTACAATATGAATACTTCTCTATATCTTTTTAAATAAACACTTGCTCAAAACCTGTTTATCTGCAATTTACTTTTAAAGACGTGGGTATGTCACGAAAATTCTAAGGGTTTTATTGTCTTTTGCTTTTGCTTTCATTAATTAATTCATAAATAAGTTAAAAACTACTATTTTGAGAATTTTTTTTTTCTCTTACATTTTTCAATTGTGTGTTTCATATATATAATTTTTCAATATTAAATCACTTTTTAAAAATTATTCAATTTCTCCATTTTCATAGTGTTTTTCCTTTTCAAATATTTTGGACAAACAAAAGAGCAATGGCAATATTATGACTGAGAGTGATGGATATCTCTTTGTAATCATCATCATAAGAAGCTGAAGTTGAGGATAAGAAGAAGAAGGAGATGAAAAAACTATGAGGACTTGAATTAATGTGCAAAGTTGAATACAAACTTAATAAGAATAAAAAAATTAATATTTTATTTATGTTTATCTTTAAATTTAAACATTTATTTGCTGGTTGTTAAACAAGTTTTGAGTTTTGTTCAATTATATGTATGCATTGGACTCTCCTAAAATCAATAAATTTTTGTTTATTTTTTTTTTAAATTTAATCAATGAGTTTTGGGAGCATCAAAACTTCAAATTGATTTGTTAATTTTCTTAATTTGTAATTAATTAAAAAATCTATTATTTAGTTCATTTGCTCCTTTATTTATATGCCACAAATAATTTAAAAAATACATCTATTGGTTTGAAGTCACATTACACACCAAAAATAGATCTAATACCAAATTTATACTATTTCTAGAAATAACTCGGGCCTTTTTAACTAATTCAAAAAAATCTAATTGAATTATTTGTTACAATTTAATCATAACTTTTGGCCAAAATTTAAAATAATATTAAAATTATTAGCTTAAAAATATCTATTAACTACTTTGCAATCCTATCTTATTACAAATTCCTTTAAAAATTAAAAATTACTAAACAATTTCATATCTCCATCAAAATATCTTGATTCTTTAGAATTTATATTGCACTCATTGATGTTGATTCTGCTGCAGCACAAACGAGTTTTCTATATCCACCCAAATTGCTTAGAGATGAAACTATTCGAGTAAAATCAGTTTGACTTTTGAATTTTAAATTTGTATAAAAACAATTATCATAGAATTTTGAATTTAAAAAAAAATTAAATAGATTTGTGCATGAAGTAAAAGCCTATTTCATTCACTTTTCCATTCTTTTTTTTCTTTTTTTTTTTATTTACAAATTCTATCTAAACACAACTTCAAAATTTCTTGAGTGATTGTACGGAGAAAATAGATGTTGGTTCATAATATTTAAAATTAAAAAAAAAAAAGCATGGGAGAAAATTGTCTAATTGTTTAATTTTTATAAAATTAACAAATACATTGTATTAAACTATTTATACATTGAATTCACATATTTTTCATAACTTCATAATCTAATTAACTGACAAGTAAAATTTTAATTTATAAAATACAAAGAACAAAAAATAATGTTAATATCATATATGTTTTATTTTTATAATGCCAAATTATTTTATCTCATACCTAACATGGATTAATTGCTAATATAATAATATATGATTGGTGAACATTAACCCCCACATAAGATGAGATTCCTGTGGAAGCAATAATAATTTTTCCATAGTACGCCCATCCTATTCCTATGATGAGCCTCTATTATCATTATTCAGATTTTTACAAAATATTATCTCCACAATCACCATTTACTTGTGATTAGCCAAAGTAAAAAAAAAAAATAATAATAATAATAATAATATAAATACATCATTAATTCATATCACTATATAGAAGTGATAGGATCTCTCCAAAAAAAAAAGTTGCACACATTTTACTATCATCATCCATTGCTCGTACTACATGTGTTACTTTCACATTTAACACCACATTGCTTACGTGGCACTCTGTCATTCTGCCACGTAGATCCAAGATGTTCTTTCCAAAAAAATTATAAAATGTTGTTGAAATATTATTATATCCGTAACTGACCATTGTTTATTATGTTTTTTTTATTTTCTTTTAAGGTTAATGCCTCATCCCCACTGGTAGAGGTGAGCACGGGTCGGTTGCGGCCACGGAACTTTCAATTCGTCATCTATTTATTAGATTGGTAGATTAGAGAAAATCAATCCGCATCCGTCCACCAATCCGGCGGATGTGGATTGGCGGTCTGACGGATGGATGCGAATCGATTTGGCGGTTTAAAATTTTATAAATTTTCAATATAATTCAACTTATGCACTTCCTTAAAAAAAAAAAAAATATTACAATCAATGACTTAAAAAAGTATTACAATCACTGTATGCTTTATCTAAAGAAAGAAAGTTTAAAACTTTAGAATATCACGATCACTGCATGCCTCATCCACATATTACAATCACAGCATGATTCATTCACATAAAGTATTACAATCTGTGGTTATTTAAATATAATAATAATTCAAACCACCACAACCATGAACAGAGCAGTAGTAGAGATTGTATGTCTCTGTATTGTTACGTCTATATATGTTTTTGAAAACAAAAACCAACCAGCATATATCATATTTTCTATTTATTATTTTTAGAGTTAGATTTAAAAACCAAAAAATGTAGATAAATAATACATTTATTTTTTTCAATTAAAAAAATATATTCAAGTTGAAAACTTTTTTTCAACAGAATATTTAAACTCTTTTTCAATTGAAAACACAAACATAATATTTAAACAAATTGAAAACACAAAGTCTTATAAATTACTAGGGTGCTCGCGGTTTGGCGGTTTGGCGGTTCGATTGCAGCCAAAAGAATCTCAAATCTCCCATCCGTCCGCCAGATTGGCGGATTAAAAAAAATCAATCCCCAACCGTCCGCTCGTTATCACGCATCCGTTCAAAATGTGACAGATCAGTTCGGTTCGATCAGTTTTGACGAATCGATATATTGCTACTCAACCCTAATGGTCAGAGACAAGGGGTCTCAAGCACAACTCTTTTTTTAATCATCTAACATAATATTTTACTTCTTACCAATTATAATATTTTATCATAATTCTAAATTATTTTAGAAAGATAGTTATAATTAATTTTTTAATAAAAAATTATTTATAAATAATTTTTTTTATAAGAGAAGTTATCATAACGCTAAATTATTTTAGAAAGATTGTTATAATTAATTTTTTAATAAAAAATTATTTATAAATAATTTTTTTTTATGAGAAAAGAGGTGAGTTATAATTTGAGGATTATAATCCATTTGCCGAGTGCCAGTTCAGTTCAGTTCAGTTCCTTCCCTTCTCTCTCGGCGCTCGCTCGCTCGCTTACTCATTGACTCTTTCTCTGGGGGATACGATCCTGCAAATTGAAAATCAAAACAGCCATGGCCGCCGCCGCCACCGGGCCGCCACAGCAGAGCCTCTCATTCTCTACGGTACAACAACTCCAGAGTTTGCCCCACCTCTCTGACTACCTCGAAAACCCCAAAACCCTAACCAACCCACTGGACCATAACCAGTTCTTCCACCCCCCCGACGCCGACGGCTTCTACCTAACCCCGTCGGACGTGGTCCTCCGCCAGATCGTCTACGATCTCTCCTCCTCCTCCGACGAGGACAACACCGCACCTTCTCACCACCAAAGCTACCACAGAGCTGGACCACGAAAGCAGATATTCTTCGACCCAGATCACGTGCGAGCCGCCATCGTCACGTGCGGGGGACTCTGCCCTGGTCTTAACACCGTGATTAGGGAGCTGGTGGTTGGTCTGTGGGACCTTTACGGCGTGCGGGAGATCTTCGGGGTGAAATCAGGGTACCGAGGGTTCTACTCGGGAGGCGAACCGGTACCTCTGAATCCGAAGCTGGTCCATAACTGGCACAAGAGAGGTGGGACTGCTCTTGAGACCTCCAGAGGTGGCTTTGATCTTGATAAGATCGTCAACGCCATCCAACATCGTGGCTTTAATCAGGTTTATTATCCCTTCCCTTCCCTTCCCTTCCCTTCCCTTGCTTAACAGTCACTTACTCCTGTGTCTGTATTATTGATATATGTTCATAAGGGCTTTTTCATAATATTTTATTGTCTAGTACTAAAACTTACATTTGGAATCCATCGGAAGGGGAAGGAAATAATAATAATAAATAAATAAATAAACCATGTTTTTATGTTGTTGTCTGTGACTTGCGAAGGAAACGAAAAGGAAAGGGAAAAGATAGGAAAATAAAATGGAAGGAGAGAAGCAAAATTTCTTTCTTTAATGTGATTGGGTTAGGAAAATGATGACAGAATTGCTTTAATGGAATTCGACATTAATAATGACCATTCGCTTAAAATGGTCAAAGTTAATTCTATTTGTCATTATTTTTTTAGGCATGAATATTTTAATGCAATGGTTATTTCATTCCTCTTCATTCCAGTGGACCAATCACTAGCATAGGGTTGACCTCCATTGGATTAATGCAGGCAGTTCTTGGGAGATCTCAATACCTTGTGAGTGAACATGGTCTTGGATGAAAAATTTTCAATTGCTAGATGCTTATAGCCTGGATCATTAGAATTTTCAGGTCAATTGTTTGTGAAGATTAATACAAAAATTTTAATCTTTTTCTATTTTTGTAAGTATTGTAGTCATCTATTTTTATCAATAAAATTCATCTTACTGAGAAAACAGGAAAAATAATTAAGTATTTGTTAAAAAGATCTTCTTTTGGTTACCTGTAAAATCGTTTGTAATATCATTTCCTTTTCATTCCCATTTCTTTGATAAATCTAAGATAACACAAGCAATGGCTAAGGACCTCTTTCTGTTCATCTCTTTTTCTAAGAGTTTGATTTCATCAAATCCATATTTGAACTGCAAATGTTTCCAAGAATTGATTGTTGCTGAACTTATGATGTTGCTGATTAGATTCTTTTGTGCATGGAAATGAGGTTTGCTATATTAACTTTTAGCCTGCATACTCTGATAACAGCTGCAGGATTAAATAATGCATGAGAAAATAAATAGAAAACAAAGAATAATTATTTATTGGGGTTCCATTAGATTCTTTTGTACATGGAAATGAGGTTTGGTATATTAACTTTTAACCTGCATTCTCTGATAACAGCTGCAGGATTAAATAATGCATGAGAAAATAAATAGAAAACAAAGAATAATTATTTATTGGGGTTCCATTTTACATTTTGCATCTTTGCTTGTTGGATAACACATTCAAAATCTGAATTCCATACAATATTATCGCTTCAATACAGAATCATTCTGTTGCCATGTTAGATGTTTGTTATTCCTTCCTTCAAACACTAATTTAGTTCATCAGTGCCAATCAAAAATTAGTTTGACACCCTTTCTTAAATTTTTTTTAGTGAGTTTGTAGATTTACTGTACATGGTTACCAAAATGTGTGTCACTGGCCATTATTCATTGGCTTCAGTTGACGTAACTGCATGGAAAAATTTTGCCCATTGCGTGGTCTTCCACAAGACCAAATATGCCAGAACACAAATAAGTTCATTTCAATGATTGCCATTTGCCGCTACAAACAAGAAGAATCAAATCTGGACCCTAACCATTCACTCTTCAATGCCCTGTCTATATTGCACGACTATTCTGTAACGTTTTCACCAAATGGAACGTAGCCTATTGCAGGTTCATGATATGTAAGATGAGGTACTCACCAAATAGTGAATCCATTAGCCATACATTGAGGTTATTTGGTGCAGCTTATAGAGATTGCTTATAGCTTTTGGGAGTCTATGCCAGAATGTTTGGTGAAACTCCTACTTATTATTGTTAGAATGTGCTCCACATCGCCTAGAGTTGCTCTATCTGTGCTATTTATAAGGCTCCAGTTTCCTTTTCCTTAATACCTGGATTTTAAGGAGAAGTGTGAGTTGCGCTTTTCAATTTGGTACTAGAGTTTGGATGGGCCTATGATTGGTGTGTCGTTTATCCGGCTACTGTATGTTGTGGTCTAGGAGGGTGTGTTGGAATATGTCCCACATCGTCTAGAGTTGTTCTATCTGTGCTAGTTATAAGGCTCCAGTCTCTCTTTTCTTAAAACTTGAATTTTAAGGAGAAGTGTGAGATGGGCTTTTCAATTCTTATAAGGTATAGCTTAAATAAAATGAAAAATGCTGATTCTCTGAAAGTTGGGTAAGGAGTGCTTTTAATTTTTGCTTTTTTATTATCAACTTTCAGTTTGAGAAAAGCTGCACCAAACAAGCCCACTGTATTTTTGTTGCTTGAGCCATACAATGTGTTTTTGTTGCTTGAGCTCTATCTTTGATTGTATTTTTCTTCCCTATGCTGATCACATGTTTTTGGATTCATGTTGATGAATTTGAACTAGATATTTGCAAGATATTCTTCTTCTTTAGGTGAAAGAATTCTTGTGCACTGATTGGTGATACCAACTGTGTTTTTGAGTTTGCTCATCGTTTGCAAATGTATAGATTTACATCATAGGTGGTGATGGCACAATGCGTGGGGCTGTGAAGATATTCGATGAGATTCGTCGACGAAAACTGAATGTTGGAGTTGTTGGAATTCCCAAAACCGTTGACAACGATATTGGCATCATTGACAAATCCTTTGGATTTCAGACTGCAGTGGAAATGGCACAGCAGGCAATCAATGCTGCTCATGTTGAGGCCGAGAGTGCAGTTAATGGTATTGGCCTAGTAAAGTTAATGGGTCGTAGCACGGGGCACATTGCCCTCCATGCAACCTTGAGCAGCCGGGATGTGGATTGCTGTTTGGTACCCGAAAATAATTTTTACTTGGAAGGAAAAGGAGGGCTCTTTGAATTTCTCCAACATAGACTAAAACAGAATGGCCATGCAGTACTTGTTGTCGCTGAGGGGGCCGGACAAGATATGATACCAAGAACTGATGCCCAGAAGGAAGAGAGGGATGAATCTGGAAACCTCGTGTTCTTAGATGTTGGTGGGTGGTTGAAGTTGGAGCTTAAGAAGTGGTGGGATAGGGATCACCCGGATGAATTATTCACAGTGAAGTACATAGATCCGACATATATGATCCGTGCAGTCCATGCAAATGCCACGGACAATTTATACTGTACTTTGCTGGCACACTCGGCAATTCATGGGATAATGGCAGGGTACACTGGATTTGTCCCAGGTCCCATTAATGGCAACTATGCATATATTCCAGTGGAAGAGGTTTCACAGGCTAAAAATCCAGTGAACACAAGAGACCATAAGTGGGCATGGGTAAGATCTGTCACCAACCAGCCTGATTTTTCTACGAGCCAAGGTCTTTGAATTTCTGGACATATAATAATTGAAGCTTATGTCCGTATTTTGTATGGCAATGTCGTGCCAATATGTCGGGTCTTCTGGTTGATTTTTGTAATTAGCTTCTCAATGACTAGGAACTTTTGGATTTTTGTCTCTTAATCAAATCTGCGATTGAGATTTATGCAGACTAAGAACTGTGGTTGATTGAGTGATATATGCAATTGACCTTCAAAAGAAAAGAAAAGAAAGAAAAGAAAAATGGCATTGCTTGGATAAGGGACTCCCTTTCATCTTTTTTATTTATTTATTTTATTTTGTTTTATTCATTTCTTTATTTTTGTGTGTGTGTGTGTGTGTGTGTGTTAAAAGGAATATCTAATCTTATCAAATACGGTTGGTTTTAGATTTTATTTTTGAATATAAATTTCTTAAAGGATTCTTGTCGGTTGGAGAATTTTGGGTTATCGTCCTTTGTATGGAGTCAAGCTGTGGGCCTTTAGATACTAGATATTGCAATTGCATACGTTGATTTGCAAAATATCGTTAATCCAAAAAGGAAGCATACAATATATATTTTAGTTTTTTTTTTTTTTTTTTTGTTACACTTACACCCCATGAGGTTTGAATTTACTACATATCATCTCTTGACGTTTGAAAAATTACACTAACCCCCTAACATTGTAATTATTTAGATGAAATGAAAATATTTAACTCATGCACTCTCTCTTTTTTTGTTTTTCTTTTCTTTTTTTTTTTTTTTTTTCCCTTTCCTTTATTTTTTTTTAATATAATTTTTTCTGTTTTTTTATTAAGAGTTGTTACTTTTTATATAAGTAGAGAGTTTATAAAATGAGACTATTAATTATAGGGGTGTGAATGTAATTTCTAAAAAGTAAGGGGATGAGTAGTAATTGGATCAAACTTTAAGGGGTGTCAATATAATTTACTTTTTATTTATTTATTTATTTTTTATTTTTTTTTCAGTGGGTGACGATGACGACGCTTGCTCCTACCTTTAATTGGCGTCGGTGATAGCCCTCCCTTAGTTTGTCCCGTTTTTCCCCATCCTAAAATAATGAAATAAAAATACAAAAATATTTGAGACACTTAATTTATTACTTGTAATAAAAAAAATTTTTAATGATGTATTTGATAAGCGTCAAATTTTAACTTATCAAATATTTCGTTATATAGAGTTTAATTTTAATGTTATATCATTAAAGATGAGTTAGAGATAATAAATTAGAGAGATATAACAATATTAATAAAAAATATATATATTATTGTTGTTGTTTTCTTCTAATGTTTTTAGTGTTTACACATAATCCAGGTAAATTTCATAGTTCATTTATGTGAAATAGAGTGGGAATAAAAAAAAATTTAATTATTTTTGAATACTGATATTATTCACATAACATGGGTACAACACAATAATTGACTTTATGGAATAAAGTAAATTACACTAAATTTCTATCGACAAAGGATTAGTGACCTCCAAAATTTGAAAGAAAGAAAGAAAAAAAAAATTATATCTCATTCAATAAAGGATAATATCAATGAGAAAATTTGTAAATACTCCCACTCAGTTGCTCTTCACACTCGTCAGATACACATCTATCTATACTCTCTCTCTATATATATATATATATGTGCAAATATGGTGAAATATGAGAATTTTTCAAACTTTTAATACTAAATTCTTATGGATTCTCTCTCCTACTTGTCTCCTCTCAAGTCTGTCTTCCTACTTTTTCTAATTTTTAATTATTTGTCAATTATCTAAATCTCAAAAGTCAAAAGGATTATATATATTTAAATAAAATAATAACCGTTTAGATATAAACAACAAATATTTAGATATGAACAACAAAGAGGTAGAGATGAAAATATAAAAAAAATAAATAAATAGATAACTAATCAAATTTCAACCAGAAAATAATATAAAGAGTCAAATAAAAGATTAAAAAATAACTAAATAAAAAATATTACAAGTCAATTAATTTTAAAAATAAAAATTTAACTATTTATATATGAACAATCAACAAATATTTAAATAAAAATATTACAAGTTAAATAAATTTTAAAATAAAAAGATAATTATTTATATATGAACAAAAAAAAAAAAAAAATAGAGATCTATACTATACTATACTATATATATAACCACATGTAGTGGTTTCTTTCAAATTTTCAATCCTAATATCTCATTAAACTCTTTCTTAGGTGACACATCTATTCTTCTATCATTCTATTTTCCTTTTCTTTTTTTTTCTCTTTTTTATGTATTTTATTTCACTTTTTGATTGCTTGTGGCATCAGCTATGAATTATTAAAAGTAGTATTTTTTTTATGTTTAGATGTCACATTTTAAAGACTTAACTTTTGTAAGAGAACCACGTCAGCATTCTACATACACCCAAACCTAATTTAAATTATATTAATTTTATCTATTTTATATGAACTCTATTTGATAAATATTTCTTTTCTATATATTTTTCATGCTAAATTGAGATAATCTGCAAATTCAATACCAATTTTACATTTCACGTTTTTCTTCTTAATTCTTTTAGGGGTATTTGGATTTATTTATTTATTTTAATTCTAAATTGCCTTCTTTTTTTCTCTCCTTATTTTCTCGTACATTATTTTGTACCCAATACCAATTCTATATTATGGATTTATCGTTTAAATTTTATAGAGATTTTATATATGAAATTATACTTATTTTCTTACATTATTTTATATAATTACAACAAACAAAAGAAAAAACCTACACAATAATTGTCACGCCCCACTTTTTAGATCAACGGATACCATTACCAAATCTTTCATTATAACACAATTTCAGAGATCATGCACATAAATTTAACACATTAACGAGTACTATTATTAAAGGTTCTCTCATTCGAATATGAAATGAATGTAACATGAGATAAAAATAAATAAGGTGCCCGTAGACTTACATCTTTTAAATTGAAAGAAAGGGTTTAACCCTTTTACATCAATGGCATTCCACCAACAAATAAAAGACCATGTGGCCAACACATAAAGAAGATCCTCGATCTTTAAATCCTTCTCGACGTTCACCTGAAAAAGGATTAGCAACGTAGGATGAACATAAAACGTAGTAGGGATCCCAATATGATCCTAAACAATAATAACATACAGATAGTTATGATCATAAATGCTTTAAATCATATCATATGCATAATGTGACGGTTCATATAGAAATATACTTATATAGGAACTTTTCTTTTCGTTCAATAACATAAGCATTTTACTTTTCTTTCTTCATGTTACCTTTTTCCCAAAATTCATATGACAATAACAAGTTCTTGAAAACAATTTCACAAAACCCATTACGTTTTCTCCCACTTTCCGGACGTATACTTGATTTGCCTTTTTGAAACATGTTCACAAGTATCCGATGTCCTTCACATTATCCACAATCTCAATACAGTACTTACGTCCGTTTCCAATACATTCATATCTTTACATATATGCATTCAGTACGAAGGAAAAAAAAAAACAACAAGTAACCAACAACTATCTACTCAACAAATGAGGCAACTCGACCTTCCCAAACCATAACCATTATAACCCATAATATACACAGATATACTAAGACAATAATGACAAACAAGTTCCACTCTACATGCCTTAAGCACGGTAAGCCAATGATACACCTTTAGTCATTTTAGTCTTACTTCATGTCATGACAATTCACTCAAAGTTAATTTATTTCATCTCAATTCATGAGCCAATTCATTACATTTTAGACACCCAACTAAGGCTGCAACTCAGTGGTTCTCAATCAACACAAATAGTACACAAACACTTCAAACTTCCATTTCACGGATATTTCGTTTGTGAGCAGGCGTCAAACAGGACCTATGCATTTTTTCACAGATATTTCATCCGCGAGCGGCCGTCAAATGGGACCCATGTATTCTTTCATGGATATTTCGTCCGTGGGCAGCCGTTAAACAGGACCCATGTAAACGTAGGCTATACAAGCACTACAATTGCCATTTTATGGATATTTCGTCAGTGGGCTAGGCACCCATGTATAATTTCGGGACTTTCACCCAAGACACTTTGGCCAACTTAATTATAATGGAGTCCATGCCCTTTCTTCGCTCAAACAATCATACATACATACACAATGTATATAAACACATAATCACACATGGAGTACATCCCATTTCTCCTCCCAATTAATCATACCTATACAATGTAAATAAACATAATCATATTCAATGACAACTAACGAAGGATTAATTTCAATTCACCTAGTCCACATACAATTTTTACAATAATCATAGCTATTCTCTACCGATAACCCAAAACATATTTTTCTAAACATATATATATTCTCCAAAATAAATAAACTATTCATATTTTCATAAGTGAGAGATTACAAATATCCAACTCCACCATTTACATTCATATCCATCCATTTCTACATCTCATATGAAAGGAAAACAAAAATCCAATTCTCGCAAGACTTTTAGTCCAATAACAATGATAGTACGTAAAGGTTCCAAAATCCGACCTCAAGTTCATTATCAATTTACAAAGGGTGATGATTTCATTTTCTTTCATAAAGACCACTTTTTTTATTTTTTTATTTTCCAATCCACACACCTCCAACCATTTTCCAAGACTTCATTCTCGTCATTTTATAAAACCAAAACCAAATCCATCCCATTTATTTAACAAAACCAATTCCATTAGTATCAAAACCATAACTCAACTCAACTTTACGTGATTAGTTTAAAACAATACCAACACCGTGGTTACTTCTCCTTTTATTTTCTTTTGATATAAACACAATTATTCAACCCATATTAGCAAAATATAAAATTCAACTTCTTCCCTTTTAAACCCATTATATTAATAATATTAAATTAGGGTTTTCCTCCCTCTCTTCACAAACATAATAAATCATTTCCCAAATAACCCAATAACAAATAACTTAACAACTCCAATCATAATTATCAAACCCTAGATTCCCTTTCATGGCTTTCAAGAAAATTCATAATGAATATGATTTTTACGCAATAAAATCTACCACATATCTATCTATAGATGAGGTATTGGAAAGAAGCAAAGAAATCCCTACCTCTTGAAGTGAAGAAATGACAACCCAAAATTCATCGGCGACGAAACCACGAACTATTCAGACCAAAAGGAAGCCTTTGATGAGATCTATAATCTTTCTCAAAGGACCATGGTGAAAAGATCACTCTAGGTGAGTAGATCTAGAGATCTAA